CACACACACACACACACACACACACAGCTTGATGCAGCATCCATTCTCTACAGGTAACAGAGCTGCAGATTGAGACAGATAACCTCTGGTCAGAGCCCCTCTATCCTCCATTCATTGGTCTGCCTTGAGGACGACTTCGCTGCCAGTGAAAGATCAAGTACGCTGCCGGGCTGATTACATCACAAGACAAATCCAGATCCTCGCATTGCTGCATCTTGGCCCGGAAGTCCCCCATATTGTTTTCCCACACTGGGCAACAACTACTGTTGTGAGAACAGGGCCTGCTTTGGTAATGGTGCCTCGACCATGGGACTTTGCTGTGATGACAGAGGAATTAGATGAACACACATCTACCCACACTGCATAACCACGAGGAGCAGACATGATGCATGAGAAGTATCATTTTGGTCATTTGGACCCAGTTTTTTGTGCCATACGTTGCCTGTAGAGCAGGGAACTGTAATGGCCCATGGCGTTGCTCAGATCATGTAATAACAGTAAACACAGAGCAGCAGGTGCACACGGGCACTTTTGTGTGAATTTACATGCCTCATGTAATTGAGCAAAACAAAGGCGAAGATAAATAGTTTCCTCACACACATACACACAGTCATATATCCCATTTCGATTAGGCTCTGTGTCACCTCATGTGCCTTATAACACACCAGGGGAAACGACTGACACTAGCTTGAGCCTGTGCTGCTCCCCTGTGCAGCTTTTTGTATTACCCATCATCTCTACAATATCACCTCATCAAATATTTACTGCCTCGTTCACACATGACCTGCGCCCAAGTGTGGTTTTCAGTTGACACTAAACTCAGGGGGTCAAAGGGAAAAACATGAGAGGGCAATGAACTTGAACATAAGTGAACACGATCCTCTGTTTGGTAATGCATCCTTCACATTAGAGGAGAGAAAATAAAACTCTGACCAGTTCCAAATGGTTTTGCGATGACTGTCGACGGGCGTAAAAGTCTCTCTGTTGGGACTGTACAGAGAGCAGGAAGTAACTAAACGACTAAGTGCCAGCTGCAGCTTAAGGAGGAAGTGTCTCTCTTGAGCCCTTTGAGACAGCTGTCCGCACAAAGGCGCTGCACGTGGAACACACTGTAGGTGAAAGGAAGAGCACCTCTGCTCTGGCAGTGGACGGCTCATCAGTCTCTTGACAACCGTATCACGCCAGTTGCTTTGTAGAGAGACCTCATTAAGCATTCAAGGGCACGATATCCAAGGAAATGACGAGCTGGCCAGCTGGAAATATGAGTCGACTGAATTTTTGCATTGCGTATGACCGCAGCATTTCGCCTAATTGATTCCTGCATTAATTCTATAGTAACGACGTATGTAAGCCCATAATGTCCAACAAAAACAGTGAGGATTATATCCTCTGAATGAAGATATACGCCCTATCTCTGTGGATTTGCACGGCATGGTGGGTCCAGAAATAGGTCAGCGCTGCCATCTTTCTTAATGGGATCTTGGGTGGCAACCAAGGACCATCTGTTCGCATGGCCCGCTCCCTAAACCCTATGGTCATCCCTCTGCCTACTCCCATCCACCCACACACTGCATGGCACTCACATCTGCCTCGCTCTGCAGTAAAAGTGACTGCACATGCATTCTCACTGCAACTGTAACCAATGCAGAATTTTTTATCTTTTTGAAAAACAAAACAAAGATTGTAGACTTGAGCTGCCGACGAGGATGCTCAGATTTCTGTCTCACACTTTCCCTGCCTGCACACGCTCACCTCTGATCATCCCTCTCTGAACTCATTTCCCTCATTTTCTGCCTCATGTGTGAGAGCGGTTGCACGACTTGGCAGGAAAAGAGGGGAGATTGTGCAAAGTGTGTAGGGACACTGTGGGCGTGCTCCATTGTGTTTCCATGTGTCCTCAAACATCCTCTTGTGGAGAAAATAAGTGTGAATGTGTTCTCTACCCATGACTACGTTTCTTCCTGCACGGAGAACAGCTGTCTTCTGCTGTATTCTACTTTTCAGACTTGATGTTGTTCATGTTACTGCGACGTGTGTGTTTACCTTTAAGTACAAGTAAAATTTTTTTGTACTGGCGCTCCTTTAGGCTTGCATATG